TAATTAGCCCTGCAGCAGGCACTTTAAACGCGGATAACTGCTGCGAAAGGCGTCGCAAAGCTGCTGGATTCACAGGCCTGTGGGACTGTCGTATTACATACGGGCATAAAAATGCAGTAACTTAAGCATCTATATTATGATTTATAAGTCGTCCGTTTTCATAAAAAAGAGCTTGCAAATGAAATAAGTAGCAGAGCTTCGTGCTGTGCTCCATCGATAAGGCGCAAGCGTAGCATAATAAATTAGTCAAGATACCATGCATTGCTGTTATTCCCAGCATTCAAATCCGAGTAGTATTCAACAGAAGCTATTTATCACCGCGGTCTAACCGCCCATTCATCATGTTCCGTTTGTAAATGATCGCCCAGTCATTTGTCATTCACTCATCACATTCCTATACACCGTCTAAATCCAGCGAGGCGTGTGTTCCGCCGGACCGGAACGATCTCAGTAGCGCATCTGGGGCCGGACTGGAACACGGAACACGTCAGGGAACACCTACAAAGAGCCCCGGGGAACAGAGATGGGCAGATTTTCACCGGTCGGCCGCCTCACTTGGCTGAGCATTTGCCGGTGAAATCTCCGCCGGTGTGGCCCCAATACTCCGGTCAACTTTTGTTCGGAGAGAGACAGGCGTTATTGTCACGTTACGAGAGTCTGGTCTGTACGGAGAGTGACATCGTTGCCCTCAATGTGGACGGTTTCACATAGCGAGAGAGACGCAGACGGCGGGCGGAGAGCTGGTTCGGGGCAATGGTCTGGTAGTTATCTTGGTCTCTCTCTCCCCCCCTCTCTCTCTCTCTCTCTCTCTCTCTCTCTCTCTCTCTCTCTCTCTCTCTCCTTCTAAAATGAGTGCGATCTGACCTTGGTTGCGTGAAATCCTTAACTATACCTACGCCATCTTTATAATTTACTTCCACTGAATCATAAATTATTTCCATGAATGGCAACAATGGAGCCTGATTACATAACGAAAGATGAGATGGAGTGGTACAATAAGTGTACGGGAACAAAGCGCCGCTGAATCTTTATTATTTTTTCGGCGAAGGTCTTTTAGGATGACACCGAAGTTCAAGTGGAACGTCTCTTTTCTTCAAATTAATTATCGCAAGCTCTATCATGAAGAGGATTAGGTAAATGGCGCACAGTCCTTTACAAAGCGAAATGATGTCATTTTCTATGGGAGCGTCTGGGCCATTTCATGATGCACGTGTCATAACAGACTTCTCCTATACTTATTAGTGCCCTGTTTGTGTTCGCAGTGGTCGCGTCAGCTCGGAGGGTTCAGGACCGCCAGTTCCTGCCGGCCCGGCCTGCCAACACGTGCCTCCTCAGCAGGATCACCTACAACTCAGGAGAGATGGTGAGAAACACTCCAGAACCGAAACGGTGCCTCCAGAACCGAAAGCTCCTGAAACGGCGGCAGAAACGCTGACACTTTGGCTGAAACGTCGACTATGTACGAGTAGCTAGCCATGCTAGGTGCTGTGTATTAGTCCCGCCGTCTGTGTGACAGCTAGTCACTAAAGTACGGTATGCCACAGAGTTGCGCTAGGGGTCATAACTGTGGCGCGGCTGTTAACGCCCATTCTTACACGATATAAATATACAGCATTCCCTTTCAAATTCACATTGAGTAAAAAAAAACTGTTGAACGAGCCTTGGGGGACTTGACGCTGCTATGAAATCATTCCGTCAAAAACAAATTGGCTAATTAAAGAGGAAGTTTAGGAACAATCTGTCAAAATTACCGCCTGTCTCGGCGAGCACAGACCATTTTATCAGTGTGGGAATTCGCCGTCATCCGTCGCACTGACCACAATGGAAAAACGGCGCGTCATCGCACGTGTGTAGCTTGGCGTGGCACCGCTACAATGGAGTCATTTGATCTCATTCCGACTCAATTAGAGTCGGCAACAGGTGCACGACAAGCTCGGCGGTGGCACAAAGGCGAGAGCTCTGCATGCTGCATTTACCAGAGTGCAGGCATCTCAAACTTACACAGTGGCCAAGTGGAAAGTCTCCAACTACGGTCAAACACAGTCATTCCATCCCCTATTGTCCGATCTAACTCGTTTCGGTTAGACGAACCGATCTAACTCGTTTCGGTTAGACGAACTGTCTAGCTCACTTAAGAACAAACATTGACCGCAACGTGATATTCCCACATCAAGCTAATAATGTGGAATGAATTGGAACGGATCCAAGCCAAACGCACTCCCAAACTGCCGTTTGGGGTTGTCGGAAGCGGTTAAAGCGAGCGCTCTTGGAGTGAACGGACGTCCGGCGGCGCGACTGATCACCCTGGCGTGGGAACCGGCGTGGGAAGCCGCCGAAAACCCGATCGGCCCGGCCGCTGAACTCCGGCTGGATAATACGGGGAACGTGTCACGTGCGTTAGCTCGGTGGGAGCCTCAGCCACGCGGCTACTCGACCAAAGATGACTTTCGTTATTGGCGCTTTTCGCAAATCTGCATCGATATTGAATCTCTTTTTACAAGTCTCCACAATATGCTTTCAGATTTTTTTGTAACACAATCATGTTTGATTAGTGACCATCTAGTTAATCACAGATCCTTAGGTGGGTCTAAAACTGTTTTCATTTTTTTTTTTTTTTAGACCATGGCTGATGAACGATATGGTGAACGGTGAACGGCGGACGTATATCGAAACGATTCCACACATGTCGCTCACATTTCGACCACCGTGAGAGTTTCCACCTGTGAACTCTCACAAATTGACAGTGAATTACAGTAATTGGCGCCAGTTTATTCAGCGTGACACCAACCCACTCGCTCCGTCCATGTATTTGACCACACACCGAAGAAAAGTGCCCGTAGTAACAAGACGTGCGACCAATGACCGCGTGTTAACCGACCGATGGCCGCACAACGGTAGCACGATGCCCTTGAGTGTGGGTTAATGGCTACAAAATAACAGATGAATGCTCGTCAATGATCGGTCCGTGCCTACAGGGTGGCCAACCAAATGATCGAATGACAATTTATCAATATCAGCGCTGGATGAATTCTAATCCAATATGTAATGATTGAACACTGAACTGTGATCAGCATGATCGTAAGATCTACCGATAGCCGATAACCTCTGGATACCATCTTTATGGCATTTGGATGTTCTTATTTCCGCAGATTGAGCGCAACAATCCGTGCGACTTTTGCTTCTGCTACAAGGGCGAGGTGCTCTGCTGGAAGAAGCAGTGTCCGCCGCCGCCACCCAGCGAGGAGCGCTGCTCGCCCAAATACGTCGAGAAGGAGTGCTGTCCGCGCTACATGTGCGGTGAGTGGAGCCGAGTTAGCGACAGTTGGTGAGAGTGTGAGCCGGGAGCGCGTGAAAATCACCGACAGTGGGTGATTCTGGAGGAATTATATCCTGTCCGCAATTGTCAAACAAAATATCATCATCTTTTGGTAACAATAACCTGCATTTCAAGTGTATCGTTATGGTTGATAATTGATGTGTCATTGAAACGTTGGTTAACCCGGCCGGGCCCGGGGGATAATCCCAACCACCGCAGCCCGGGGGGGGGGGGGGCGCTTCCCCTGTCTAACTCCGTAAATAAGGCAGCTACGGAAATAAAAGCGGTACTAAACGAAATTGCTCTGCGAGCCGATTTAAAGCACCAAAATCTTTTGACCTGAGGTCAATTTTCAAGGTCAGAGGTCAAGGTCAAAGACAAACATCGGCGCGTGTGTAGTGATCTCAAATTAAGTGTTCCAGAAAACGGCATGATGCATAAAACCGGCAAACAATGGTGATGCTCGCAAAAAGAGAATCTGAGGATTTTGATGATGTGCTTAACATATAAGGTCAACGTCCAGGTAATGCTCAAAATTATCCTCAAACTTTACACTTTTTCGTATATCTTTTATAATTAATTCCAAAATCTTTAAAAGTGTTTTGAAGCCTATCATGCGCCCTATTTGTGGTTCATCTTACGATACAAGGCTGATAAAAAGTTAAGGTCACGGGAGAGTAGGTATTCTTGCTAGAGGCTATTTTAATGATTCAAGTCAGCCATAATAGTTAGGACATTTTTTGCCTTCCTGAGGCTCTAAATGAATTCTTAGATAAAGAAGAATGACAGATTCATGATCAACGGCTACAAACCCATCATAAATGACCTTTTTATGTGGCAAGGTCAACAAAAGGTCATTCGAGGTCCCACGACGTCAACATAAAACTTGATCTTTTCCAAACCAAATATATGTCATTCGACGCGTCTTGACAAGACGAATGCGATGGTACCATGCCCGTAGCTCCAGGACCTTTTTGTTGAAGTTATTTACGAAAAACTAAGACCCCAGCTCGGGGTCGAGCCCCAGTCAGTTGTCAGGCACCGGTGCCTCCGTCATACAGCAGCTCCACTCCTACTAGTGGTGCCAATCGGAACTCGGACCTACGGAATTCCGATTTTGTCCTATGTCCGATCCGGAATTTGGTGTTGGACAAAGGCAGCAGGCTTTGGGCAACATTGGACAATCAGTTGCTACACCTCAGCATTTTTACAAAGTACCTGCCTAATCGTGTATAGGATTGATTGGCGAATAGAAAGCTCAGATCTCGATATGATTCACTTTTTTGGGGCTTTTAATAGTGCATTAAATGCAAATTAAATAACAGTGTAGAGCATAAATTGTTGGGTAGTTTTCGGACATTTTTGGACAAATAGCTAGCTTGGAGATTTTTGGACGGCTAGTCGACGAAAATATCGAACATTGGTCGGACATTTGACATTTTCTACATTTTCTTAAACTGACACAACTAACGTCTACCGCTGGCCCCGATGTCGGCCGCATGTTGGTCCCCGGGCCGCGGGGGGGGGGGGGGTAATTCAGCACCGCCTGACAGCCTGTTTAGGCGCGGCCGACGGCTTGATTGCGCCTCCGTCTGACGCTCTGACGGACGGCGAGGTCGGGCCGTCACCCAGCCGTCACCCGGCCGTCAGCCGGCCTGCTATAAGACGGCCGATCCCCAGCAGGGGGTACCAGCCGCACGGCACCGCACCGCAGCGCCGCCCACACCGCCGGCGACATGAGAGCCCTGCTGCTTCTGACGCTGCTGGCCGCCGCAGTGCTGACCGCCAGCGCCCGCAGCTATGTCTACTCCCGTGCGCTGCGCCAGCGGCGTCCCGTCAGCTACCTGATCCGGCGCTCGCCCAACCCGCGCATGGGGCTCTGCTTCGTGGAGGCGCAGCTGTCGCGGCGTGTGCTGGAGCAGCTGCTGAGCGCTCGCTACCCGCAGCTGGACAGCGCGCTGCTGGAGCGGCTGGCCATCCAGCGCGGCGGTCAGCAGCTGCCGCCGGAGCAGCTGCGCACGCTGCTCCAGGGGCCCTACCGGCGTCTGGTGCAGCCCATCTATCCCGGCCTGCTGCCCTACTACCTCTACAACCGGGCCGGCTCTCGACTGTTCTCCAAGAAGAGCCTGCTGAGCCCACTGCGGCGGCTGACTCCGAGCGACGTGCAGCTGCAGTTCCTGCGCTTCCTCACACGCATCGACCGCCGGCTGGTGAGCGAGCCGGTCGGGGACGACGTGTTCTCGGCCGTGCGGCAGAGCCTGGTGGACGTCAACAGCGGCTACGGCGGACTCTCCGTGCCGCTGCTGCGCAACCTCTACGGCACCTTCGTCTCCGTCATCGGCGGCAACGGCCGCAGTCGGTTCCTGCTGGGTCTGAGTCCGCAGAGGCGACTGCAGCACTTCTCCACCAGTCTGGGCTTGTACCTGCGCGCTGCCCGCGGCCAGCTGCCCGCGCTGCTGAAAAACAGCGCCCTGCTGTACCAGGACTTTGCCGGTGACGTCGACAGCCGCTACATTCTGCACAGCAGCGGCATCCGACTGCTCGGAGCGCTGGAGCGCCAGCAGGAGTCGGAGGCGGACCGCTTCTTCCTCGAACTGGAGCACGACCACTTCGAGGCCGTCAACGACGTCCTGTCCAGCATCTTCCGTGTACAGCGCAGCCTCAGCCTCTCCAGCCTGCCGCGGCTGGGCTACTCGGGAGTGCTGGCGCGTCGCTTCTACCCGGGCCTCGACGTGGCGCAGACGGACGTCATCGCGCGCTACATCCTGCGCGCGCTCTCCAGCTACGGCGCCATCAGCGGCAGCGTGGCCAAAACGGGCGGCCTGCTGCAGTCGCTGCCCTACCTGCCGTACGTCCGGGGACTGCCAGTCAACACCGTCAGCTCCATTCAGCAGGCGGACCTGGCCAGCATTCTGGGCAGCCTCAACCTCTCCGGGCTGAGATCGCGGCTGACGCCGGAGGTCCTGCAGGCAGCCCGCGGCGGCCCGTTCATCACGCAGGCGCTGCTGGCCTCCCTGCTGCACGGCGTGCGCTTCACCAGCCCCCAGCAGGGCGTGCTGCTCTTCCGCGACCTCCTGGCTAGCCTGCTGATGCACGAGAAGCGGTTCGACCCGGCCCAGTTCACCTCGTTCCTGGGCGACCCGATCCGGCCGTTCGTACTCCTGAACCGAATCATCGTCCCCAACACGCTGCCGGCCATCCGGCGCATCCCTAAGATCCAGCTACTCCCGCTGAACAGCATCCTCTCGCTGCGCGGCGCCCTGCAGCGCGGCATCGTCCAGCTGCCGCCGGGCCTGGCGCGGCGCGCGCGGCTCGTGCTCCGGCCGCGCCGGGTGCCTCTGGTGCCGGTGCCGGAGCCGGAGCCGACGCCGGTGGTGGTCACCGAGCCTCCATTTCCCAGTATCGTGGTGTCCCGGGTGTCGATCGGCAGCGCGGCCGCGCGCCGGCTGTTCGCGCTGCTCAGCGGCGGCATCCCGGTGCTGACGGTGGGTCTGCTGCAGCCCGTCCTGCAGCTGCTAGTGGAGCGCCAGGTCGTCCCGGTCGCGCTGCTGAGGGCTCCCGACCAGCTGGAGGCGCGGCTCCAGGATCTCCTGAAGGCCCTCCAGCCGCTGGTCTCGGTGGCCTCCCAGGCGGCCACCGTTCCCTCCTTTGTCACCGACAAAACATTCACCGCCGACAGCGCTCGCGTGGCCTACATCCTGGACCTGCTGGTGATCTACAGCCGCGGCTACACGGTGCTGGAGGCGCCGCTCATCTCGAACTCGGTGATCGCCACGCTGCGTTCCTACTACACCGCTAACAGGGCGTTCGAGCCGATTCCGTTCCTGGCATACTCCGATCGGTTCTTCCCGCAGCTGATCGCGCAAGGGCTGCTGGCGCGGCCGCTGCGGCTGGGCTCCAGCACGCTCTCGCCGGCCACCGTGACGGCCACGCTGGCCGGGCTGCGGCCCGCCTACGGCCCCGTCACCTACCACGGCCTTGCCTCTGTGCTCGGCTATCGGGGCGCGGCGCCGCTGCTGCGCGGAGTCGACCTCACCGACCCGGCGGCGCTGGTGCGCGCGCTCACATTCGGCGCCTCGAAGCCGGCCTTCCAGCTGTCGGAGAGTGACGTCTCCGGCCTCCAGGAGATCCTCAAACCAATCAAGCTGTTCGACCGACAGTACTCGCTGGCAGACTTGCAGTTCCTCTTCTCGTTCGGTGTCCGGGAGCTGCGCATCCCGCGCAGCATCTACGGCGGCCGGCTGGCGCCCCTGTTCCGCGAGTCACTTACCTCCTTCATCGCCACCAAGAAATCACTGATCGCCGACCGCGCCTACAACCCGGCCTACCTGCGCCTGGTCGTCGACCAGCTGCTGGTCGACAAGCTGACCTCCGGCGAGCTGTCGCCGCGCGTCCAGGTGCGCATTCCCAGCGGCCGGCTGACTCTGCGCCGCTCGCAGGTCTCGCGGCTGGTGCGCCGCTCGCTGCTGCCGCTGCAGCTCCGGCTGCTGCCGCCGTTCGTGGGGCAGCTGCTGATGGTCGCCGTGCCGGAGGTGCGCCTGCTGCGCCACGCCAAGCCGGCCTCGCTGCTCTCCAGCTTCGGCCAGTACCTGGGCTCGGCGCCGTTCACCAGGTTCCGGTTCTCGCTGACAGATGACGAGTTCTCGGCCGTGCTGGGGACGCTCACCAGGCAGCGCCGGCTGCCGGGCTTCTTCCTCAGATACCCATCTCGCCTGCAGCGTTACTACCTGGATAACCTGTTCGGCTCGTTCGCAGCCTACTCGCTGCTGCGGTACAACGCGCAGGAGCTGGTCACCGAGCCGCTCAGCCACTCGGCGCTCTTCGACAGCTTCTCCACCAGTCTGGTGCCCAGCTTCTTCAAGGGACACAAGTTCTCCGGCCTCGGTGACCTGCTCGGCGTGGCGCCCGACTACTTCACCCTTTGTCGGCGGACTTTCAGCACACTTCCCGGACTGCAGGCCATCCGGCCGCCCGTTCACATAGCCAGCGCTGGAGGCGCACCCAAGGGCGGACTGCTGCACTACGGCAAATACCACAGGGAAGGAGGCTTCTTCACGGCGTGAGGCGCCTCCGAATCAGGAGGGGCCGGCGCTGCAGCGGCCGACAGTCCCCTGGCAACCTCTCCAGTGAGGAGCGAGCGGCCGGTCGGCGCGCCGACAGGCAGTATGTTGTTGACCAATGAATGAGCGGCTGGCGGGCGCCGTGTGCAGAATTGTGTGGGGTACTCGTTTGTATACGTATATCTGTAGCCGGTGATACATGTGATAGGCGCCCAGCTGTCCGGAGCCGGGGCCAGGCGGGCTCCGGCGGATCCATCACCGGCCACTGCCACTGGAGCCGGGCGGACGTGTTCAGGGCTTGTGGCGACTGTTGTTACCTGTGCCTGCCACTGGCACGTATGTACCTACCTCATGCTTTATGTGTTTGATGTTGAGTGCGAATACAGACTTTACAACAATACCGACAACTGACGGGTCGTTAACCTGACTTCTGACCTCAGGTCACTAAAATTATTTTTGTATTTTTCCCAATGTCAAACGCTACAATACCGTGCTAGTAATTGGTCTTTATCTTTAAAGCTCTGTTTTCGCATCTATTTGACGTTCATATCTGTGACGATGAAGTTTGCTGTGCAGGGGCTTCGAAGAAAATCGACCCTGTGACGTCATCAAGGGGGCTAAGTTCAAACTCTTTACTCCAGAAGATGTCAAATTGAGGGGGCTACAGTACTTAAAGTTTCGTCTTTCTATCTCTAAGCGTTCGGGAGCTGAAGTTATTGACGAAAAACTCCTATGACCCTAGTGACATCATAAATGACGTCACGCAAGGTCAACTATGCAAAAGTGAAGCATTGCATCCAGTGGCGGATCCAGGGGGGGGGGGCAAAATGGGCATTTGCCCCTCCCAAACGGCATAGTTTTAACATTACGCCTGTCGCCTATGGACGAGGCATGGAATGAATCGATAAATTGTTATGGTTTGCCCCCCCCCCCCCGCAAACTCTGAGCTGGATCCGCCACTGATTGCATCTGATAAGGAGTGCATGAAAGCACGATTCCATGCGTCTGAGATAGTTTTAGATCATTCCCGGCGCCAAAATAACAGTTTTCATATTTCCCCATTGACTAACAATGGTGAGGTCACGTGACCGACCTCAACTCATGTGACCTCTAGGAAAAATCCGAGATATACCTACATGTTGTGAGGTTTCTAGAGGATACTGCGTCCTGTAAGTTTCATCTTCCCGTGAAAGCTCCTCTGGCACTGAGGGTGATGCGAAGTTGCAACCCCTGAGGACCGTGTAGAGGTTCACTTAATAACGTCATACTTCATAGTTCAGTGACCTGACCTGACCTGAAAATTATGTTGACGTCACAAGATCTGGCTGGATTCAAAGGTCAGGGTATGCCAAGTTTCAGCTCTCTAGCACCGGCGGGTCCCGAGCTATCGCGAAAAAATAAACTATGGGGGGAGCGGCACCCACCCCCTCCTCCTCGGCCGGCGAGGGTTAATATAATTGGGAGTCGTTTGGTACGATTTTACATAGCTTTCATAGTTATTTCGTCTTATGAGCACATTTCATTCACACGCTGTGGCTTTCCTCACCGATAAGGTCTCGCGGGTTTTAGCGGTAGGTTTTGCACCTAGAAAATTTAGTGTACTTCATGCTATATCTTCGTCGTCTTAAGGTTTTAAGTGTTGAAGATGCGATCCACTTGTTGGGTAACAAGCCGGCCATGATCGTGTAAAATGGCTTCATCGTAGGTAGATCGATTAGTTTCTGAGATATAACCGGAAATGGCAAAACCTACCGCTTAAACTCGCGAGAGCCGTAGGTACAGGTCTCGCGGGTTTTAGCGGTAGGTTTTGCACCTAGAAAATTTAGTGTACTTCATGCTATATCTTCGTCGTCTTAAGGTTTTAAGTGTTGAAGATGCGATCGACTTAATGGGTAACAAGCCGGCCATGATCGTGTAAAATGGCTTCATCGTAGATCTATTAGTTTCTGAGATATAACCGGAAATGGCAAAACCTACCGCTTAATCTCGCGAGAGCCGTACATACGCAAGCAATGCTAGAGATGTGTGTAGACACTAGACATGTGTTTCATTCATTTCGTTACTAACGATGTAATTTTCGTCTCGTTTCAGAAAATATAAACGAGAGCATTAACTTCATCTAGCTGCACAGTGCACGCCACATATATCGAGCGACCTCGTCGCTGGCGGAATCTTGGACTTAACGCTGATCGGCTATCAGTTTCCATCCTCATTCGTCATTCATAATCATGTGAAGTGAACTTATGTACCATTTTGCTAGGGTTTCCTGCTGCGAACAGGGGAGGGATGCCGTTATTGTCGCTATGAAGCGAAATGGTGTGATCTTTGTTACGAGGGGCAATGTTGGCATGGCAGTGCTATTATGTGATCGGTTGAGAAAGACGTCACGATTGAGAAAGTGTGGCTTTGGAACGAGGTGTGGCAGCAACCTTTAGTGTGAAACGTTAGCGCTGGAGTATTTTTGGTCTCAGCTCGTGTACACTAGAAGCAGTTACGCTTACGAATATATTTCAGCAGGTCTAGACGTTCTAAGGCCTATTTGACTCTAGCTACTAACTTTAACGTGATGTGGTATGGTGTGTCTCGCGTCTTTTTTCACCTAAAACATAAAGTTGCGGTGCCGAATGTCGATTGATAGAGTTCATGTCACTTCATGACCACTTGTCCTAAGCTGTGTGTAATATTTGCTTCACGTTTCTTTAAATGTGACACCATCTTTTCCAAAATAAATTATGTACTCTTTCTGATTGTTGTGATTTATTTTCTGACTAGGAACGGAATGCGAATCGGAGGACAAAATGACCCCCCCCCCAAAAAAAAGAACAGAAATGGAACGCATGACTTTTTGACGTCTTTTTATTACGATAGATCGCCTCAACACATCACGTAATTTATTTTTCTTCAAAATGCTACCGTCGACGTTCGGCTGTTTCCCTTGCAGCTTGTGTTCGCAATTTAAAGGGACCCTCCCACCTTAACATTAGATTTGAGTTGAGATAGCCAAAATGGGGTCCCTGGCTCACAATTACCGGTTTCGGCACTCACAACATCGAGAAATGCCTTAAATCGGAAATATTGAATTTCAAAATTGCAGCATTTTGATTCAGAGGGGCTAATGCTTAGGAATACCCCTCTGAATGTGTGACGTCAGCGCAAATATCTAACGATTTTTAAATGTTTGACTAAAACGTTTTGTAGCACGCGGTGGTATATGCTATTTGCGCGCAACATCTGCCGCAAACGCCGCACTTCTAAAATAAAGTCGCTAGAAACAGCGGAGATCCCAAAAAGTAAACAAAAGTAAAAGTCTAATATCTTGAAAACCGGTGAATATTTTTCGGTGAAATTTGGTAGATATTCGTTTTCGCTCTTTCTGAACCGAGCGACATCATTTTCATGCCAATTCATAAACTTTTTTGAAGGTGGGAGGGTCCCTTTAAAGGCGCATATGCATGGTACCTAATTGTCCGTTATCAGTAATTTGGTAATCATTCGATAATATATATTAACACATGGTTTCCCGTGTGTAAATGGTTTTAACGCACGACGTGGATGGATTGGAGCACGAGTGCATTAACGCACAAGTGCTCCATTCCATCCACGAGTGCGTTAAAATCATTTATGCACGGAAACCATGTGTTAAACTAATTAATACATGCTTAACGATGCGAATTTAAATGAAAATTAAACCTAGTCCATGCCACTAAAAAGGGCCCTTTATGGGAAATCTTAGAATAAAGTCAATGACCCTTCCGAGAAACTTCAGTCGAGAAAGTCATCACTGCACGCGCGTGCACCAATTTAAATTGGTGCACGGCTACCTTCGAATTAACGCACGGTTAATCTCCAGTGAACGCACCGTAAAGTATGTATTAATTGTTTCTTTAACACGCGCACCGACGGGGGAGGGGGGGGGGGGGCGGTTATCCGCCCCTCCCCCTCCCCTGAGATTTTTCGCAAATAGCGGAAAACCGTGGCGCGTAGCGCCGCGAAATTTGGTACGACTGTTCTGTCATCAATTTTACATATGGTGTGCAAGTTTAAACCTTCTAACGTTTAAGGTCAGGTCACCAGGTCACTTTGAATAACCCAGCCTCAAGTCACTTTTTTGCAGCTTTGTCACCGTGTCAGAGCTACAGTAGATGACTGAATTCTTTGAAAGTCGGAGGATGTTGTTAGGTCATTAGTAGCTACAATTTGTATATCTCGGAATTTTGATATCGATGACCTAAGGTCAGGTCAATTTCTCGACCTCCCCATATAAGTCAATGGGGGAAAAATCAACTCCCTGTTTTCCACTAAAACGCGTCAGAATGGCCCCATATACCATACATGACTTCATATACGATCAACCTTCACTACCTTGAGGTCTATTTTGCTGTTGGGCAGCTTTAACCCTCGCATGTGTGCGGCGTTTTCCAGCTTCTAATGTGTAGGGGGGGGGGGTCGGTTGGACCCCCCCCTTGCCGTTTGGCCCCTGATCGAGCTAGAGCTTCGCGGAAAAAACGAGCATGTTGCCCGTGACGAGAGGAAGCCGATGATACCCAATTTTAAGGTCCTAGGTCATTGGTTGACCTTCCAGGTCAGGTCAATGACCCAAGGTCGGGAAAATCGGGACCTGTTAGAAAGTCGTAAAGTGTGGCTGCTAAGGGGTTTTTCGGGGTGCTGATCACGAATATCGTGTTAGTTTTGATCACAGATGATGTCTTTAAGCATTTAGACCAGGTCGGGTCAGGTCAGGTCAGGTCAACCAGTAGGCGTCGTGACGGGTATTAGTATTACGTGTCAACCGCCTCTGACAGCTTCGTAACATGTTACGAAGTCACCAAAACTACTTCATAAATGTTCAAATGGTTGCTAAATTCGAATTCAGCTCCAAAAACTAGCCTAGAAACATGTAAAACTCGAAAAAGTGAACCGAGGTCACCAAAGGTCAATGACCTGACCTGACCTTCAGGTGACCTTGACACCCACCCTAATGCATGGGAGCAACATCAAATCACATGTTTGAACGTTTGAAACCACGAAAAGCTTGCAAACGCGCGGCTAATGCGAGCCGACATACGCGGAATCGCGATTCCGGCCAAACATGGTCTCGGAAAAGAGGTCACAGGTCAAAGGTCATTGGGGTCAGGGTCATGAAATTTTCAGGGTAGGTGTAAAATTGATCAATGCGAGGGTACTGAAAGTTTCGTCGCGATCGGCCGCTTTTTAGGCGAGTTATTCGCGAAAAACCATGGGGGGGGGGTCCATCCGACCCCCCCCCCTACACATGCGAGGGTTAAGGTCATGTGACGTCATCAAAGGTCACCAAAGGTTTTTACCAATAACTCCTTACAGGAACAAGATACAGCCGCGCGGATGGTCTCATTGCGTTCAGCTCGTCAAGGCGCATCGAAT